GAGAAGAAAGGCCCATGGGCCCTTGTCCTTTTGGGCTTTTTCTAATCTCATTGGACTCTACTTATGGGCAAAATATCGGCTTAAAAGCTTTGAATCACTTCGAACGGTTCCCTCGTAAGATAATTAAAAAAAAAATTTCATCAAAGATATTCATCTATCAACATTAACATGTTGAACATCTCTAGACCTCATTGATTGTTACATCTGCTTATCTTTATATATTTGCTTCACTTGAAAGAGCTCTGTATTCACTGTATTTTCTTCTATTTTTATACAGATTTTTGAATGCGGTTTAGTTCATAGGACAGTAGATGTTGACTATCCTAGTTATATTCAATGTGGGTAGGTCAAGAATATTATTTTCATTTAAAAAAAACAGGAACTTTCTTGCATTAGATGGTGGCGCGCACCTGAAATAGGACTTTGTGAGAGATATAATGGTGATAAAATCGATATATGGTCTACCGGTTGTATAATGGCAGAACTCATCCTGCTTCGACCAATTTTTCGAGGAACAAGTTATATTGATCAGTTAGACAAAATATTTGATATTATCGGTACACCAGACTTAGCAATATTAAATGATACATGCACACCAAGTTTGTATCAAAACGAAAACATAGAACAGATGATATAGTTCATGTTTTTTGATATAACTCGACAAATATTCTATATTACTTATTATTGTAGCTACAACTGCTTATATTAGCCTATTGCCATCAAAAACAAAAAAAGACTATAATGAATTGTTTGGATTCAAATATGATCCAGTAACAAACACATTAATATCAGGTGTATCACCAGAAGGTACATCTAGAGAAATAAATCACTTTCATTTATTTTAATTCTTTATAGGTATTGATTTCCTTGATTATCTGTTAACTTTTGATCATCGTACACGTCCAACTGCTGAAGATGCTTTATGTAAAATATCATCAGAAAATCATAGATTTATGTTATTTTCTATCGTATATTTTTTATTTAGCTCATCCATTCTTGAAGACTTTCCACGATCCCATGGATGAACCAACTAATGAATTTTTAGTTGATGAACATCAGGCTAAAATATATAGTACGGCAGAATGGAAATGTAAGTCATTTGAATAAAAAAAATATCATCTCTAATAGTTGAATATTGTTTTTTCTAACAATGTTTATGTTTTACGTTGTTTGTTGTGAACAATTGATAGAGATAAATTCGATTGATCTTTTAGTTGTAATATAAAACAATTTGACATTATTATTTTTATTTTAGCAATAATATGGCAAATGATAGAAGGGTTTGTACCACCATCTTGGATTAATGATAAAGACGATATTGCTGATGATTGATGAGATATGACAATAAATAACATAAAAGTATAAATCGTTCCAACTTTTAAATTCTCAAAACATATTGATTTATGTTGTTTTTTTTTCGTTTTTGTCCTTGTTCTATATATAATCATGAATTGTATTTTTTCTTATTGCTGTATTGTTACATTAATCTATTCGTTTTTATCGAAATATTAATTAAATAATATTAAAAACTTGATTCTCTGTTAATTTCATTGATATTTTACAATATAACATCATTGTCAATTTTATTGTTTAGAAAAATTGAAGCGATATTTTAACAAACGAAAGAGATTGCAATTGCATTCTAGTCAAAATATCAATCCTCAATCAAGAAGTATAATATTATTATGCCAATAAAATGCATTTAGCTATGCGTTACATTGAAATACAATGATCGGCAAGAATATGTAAGTGTTATTATATAGATAAAAAAAAAAAGAAATTAATTATAGAGGATTAGTGAAGATGATATCCTAGTGAAAATACTTATTAAGTAACTAAGAGTTTCTAGTGTGGGTTCTCTTATTACACACATGAGTATTCGAAGAACTTTATATATATATATATATATATGCACTCCGATGAGCACTTGTACAAGATGTTCTTTAGAGTTTTATGCTTAGACAGATATATGAGCAGTCAATGTGGTATTCGTTCTGGTTATTATAGTAGAATATCCAGCAAAACACTTATGCACTAGTATAGACAAAAATAAATTGAAATTATATAATAAAAGAAAACGATGCAAAAGCAATTTTTCGTTTTCATTAATTAACTTCTTTGGTGAGATTAAAATTTTTGAAAACATCTTAATGTAGATTAGTTTTTGTTTCATTTCTTAAATTTAGATAAAAATATTTCGTTCAAATATAATTTTTCAGATTGATCATACAACACTGTGGAACAATAAGCAGTTAATGACTTTCATTATGCATCTGTCGGATTTCAAAATAAAAAGATACTTGAATAAATTATAAATACACAGTTTAAGAAATCTTTGGTACTACTGAAGATAGATATTTTCTTTGCTTTTATTTATTTTTTTTTGAAAATAAAATCATATTTTTAAGATTCTTCGCTAATAATAAAGATTTTTGTGTCCATATTTTTAGCGTTAAAGTATATGAAGTTAATGTTAACCTTGCCAATTTTTCGTTATGTCTGACTGCATTTTTTTAAAATTTTGGTATCAAATATGAAGTAATGTAGTACAACGGAAGAAACCAAAAAATATGCTTATAAGTATTTTATGCAGGCCAACAAATTACACAAAAACTATAGTAGATAGTACTACTCACAAACTACTCAATTTTACACATCGAGTACTTATTTAGTACTCGACTATCAGTATCTTCACTAGGTTATGAACTAAAGACAAGAGATATCATCAAGAAAATAGAAATCAATATGAAACAGAATAAATCTTTCATCGAACAATGATTAGTGCTTCTAAGGACATTACTATTTACGAAAGAGTAATCTGTTTAATTTCAGATATGGCGCAACTATTAGAAAGCAATATGTCAATCTCACAAGGTCATAGATTAAAGATTATCTTGCTAGTCTTTTTTTTTCTTAATTCAAGATACAAGTTGATCGGGAAAATTGTCAACCATTTTGTTTATATTAAGCATTCTTGCCATAAAAATCATGAATATTCGAGACGTACATTCAATACATAGACTGTTCATTGCTAAATGGTTTATTATTAATTTTATTCTATAATCCAAGTTTTAGGTAGATGATAAAACTATTCTTGCCACTCGATAAGTTTAACTAAAAGGACGTTTTTAAAACCTTTTCGATCATTAATGTACGTAACCATATAATTTCCTTTAGCATACATATAATTTTAAATGATATGATCACACAGATTTTAATACATAAGGTTAACTAAAAGTTCGTAGAACGATGTTGAAACTTAATTACTATCAAAAGATTTATTGCATAAATACAAAATAAGATGTCTTATCTATAATACAGTGAATCTGTGAATATTCCTCATCCAGAATTCAAGTTTATTTCTGAATTCCGTACGGTTTCCTTCCTTTCTCTCATATATTCTCTGATGTCAGGCACTTAAAAATTGCATTTAACGGTATGTATTGAATACGAGATTGTTCATTGAGTTAGATCATACGATTCACTCAGTTATTTCCTGTGAATAACTAAACATAGCTCTTTCGTGATATACCAAACGAGGCTTGTTCACATATTTGCTGTATTGTAGATTAGACATCTTACTATGTATTTATGCAATAAATCTTTTGATATTAAGTTTATTGTACAAATTTCAAAATTGTTATACAAAATTTTGGTTAACCCAAAGTAACTGATACCGATGATCTATCTCCATTGTCTATAATCCCATCTGCTATCATCAAAAGCCCCATTATTATGGTCATAGTGTATATCGTTGAATCCGGTAGAGTTCAGTAATCTATAACTGATAATGTATTTTTATTTTTATACTATCTTGTAGCATTATTGAAGAGCTTTTGAATGATGTATAAATTGACCTAGTGATCTATTCCCATAGTATATAATGTGACTATTTCGTAAGAGAAAAATTAAAAATTTTCATGCGAGCAATTTTTCCTCTTAATAATTTTTTACCTTTGGTTACCATCTAAACGTGTAAAATCCTTCTTTTGTTGCTATCTGCCAAAATAATTAGTCATTGTCTATAGTTAAAATGGTGACATGACTATAGATGTACTTATTTACGACTAATCGACACTGACTTTGGAAAGATATAAAAAAAAATTCAATCTACACATGTTTTGATGTTTTGCAAACCAGCTAAACGAAGAAAAAAAAAAGGAATGATGCAAGTTGTGTATAGAAAGGCCTTCATATTTTTTTCGTTCTACTACACACACGTGTACCTTTCCATTAGAATCAAGAGTTATGAAATTACACAAACGATAGCAAAGTATTTCAAAATGCACACATGTCAAAAGAAACAGTAACAATCTCTAATCGAATGAGTTTCTCACTGCACACGATACCTGTCGAGTTAGTGTATCGAATTTTGGACCATTTAGATAAGTTAACGATTTTCTTAACGTGCACAAATGTCTGTACAAGACTCAATGCCATTGTAGATACCTACCATCGATATCAGGTAATATTTGTTATTATTGGATAGAGTCATATATAAGTCATCTTTGAAGCAGAATGTCTTTTCAGAAACATGTTATTTTCATTGATTTTTCTCTATTGCAAAAAAATAATTTTCAAAACTTGAAGCAATATTTAGTTGATGGTATTAGGTATGTGGTGACCACGTGGTGCGGGGTGATGCGCACCACCCCAACTATTGAAAATTTTCGTTATTTTCCAACAAAAATCTGTATTATTATTAAAAAAACGATCATCAGATAGAAAAATGAGATTTTGCACCACCCCAACTAGTAAAAATTTTGTAATTACAGCCTCTTACGTCCAAAACTTTCTTGAATACACCCTGAAGTTTTGAAAAAAATTTTTTGCACCATCCCATATTTTTTCTGTTCGCCACATCCCTGAGTACGGGCAGTATCATAGTTAATGTAAATAACAATCGCGTAATCTTTACCTACTCAATCTGAACGATTCTATTTCATGAGTAAAGCTTATCAGACCTACTGCAATCCTAGAGATTTTAATGGCACAATAAAAGAGAGAATCGTACTAATATTCCCCAGTCTTCACCTATTCATGACGAAGAGAGAACAGGATGTAAACAAATTTAAAAAAAAACATCTGATTTTAACTAGTTCAATCCAGTCTTTGTTACACTCGGCTGCTCTTTCTAGCAACAAAATGTTACGTGGAAGAATTATTTAGCTATTCACTAGCTAATTTCAAATAATGTTCATTTTATTGAGAAAATATCCAAAGAAAGAGTCGTTTATTAAGCCTGTTCAAATATCTCATACTATTGAATCCACAACATGTAACTAAATTACACTATTACTGATGGAACAAGCACCGACTCGATCTACATCAATAGAGCAGCATATTACTGCTTATATTCAACATCTCGAAAGTGTAAAAAACCTTCATTGATGTCGAATGCACTCAAAATTAGTAATCATTTATTCTGACAGATTTGTGTTAGTGGACAGAAATACATATGTTCGCCATTTGCTCTGTAGCGAGTTTTTCTTGCTTATCTTCGTAGAATGATAAACTTTTGTAGTGCATTTCTTTATTATTTTCGCTTTCATCTTGTTTTGTTATAGGAATTAGATACATTTTACCTTGGAGGCCACCAATTTGATTCACAAAGAATGAAACTTCTCGCCACTGCTCTTCTACAAAATATAGTAAAATTTCATCTTTTTAATCTAATAATCGCTCATTTTTTCACATAGACACTCACTACACTCTACCTTCAATATAATCAAATTAATTCGCAAGGAGCTGATTATCTAAGCAATGCTCTAATTTATAATAAAGTAACATTTATTCCATTGCTTCTTTTCTCTTTTCGTCCTCATACTCACTTATTTTGTCACACAGACACTCGTTACACTTCAACTTCAATATAATCAAATTGGTCCACAAGGAGCAAGTCATCTAGGCCATGCTCTACAAAAAAACACAGTAAAATTCTTTCTCTTTGTATCTATTCTCATTCTACGATATACTCATTATTTTACACAGGCACTTACTACCTTAAACCTTTCGTACAATCAGATTGTTGATGAAGGAGCCGAGCAACTGGTTAATGCTCTAATTCAAAACAAAGTACTGTGCCATTTTTTCTATTCTCCTCTCAGTTTGTCACTATTCATTTTTTCAAACAGACTCTCACTACGCTTGACCTCCGAGTCAATCAAATTACTTCACGAGGAACACAATATCTCGCCAATGGCCTATCACAAAACAAAGTAGTCTTGTATTTTCTTCGTTTCATTTTTATTGTATTGCTTCTTGATTAATTTATATAGACACTTCTCACTCTTCATCTTTCATGGAACAATATTGGTGATCAAGGAGCTGAATATCTAAGTAATGCTCTCTTAGACAACAAAGTAACATTCTATTTTCATCTTTCTTCTCTCGCTCATTATTTCATACAGGCACTTCTCACACTTGGTCTTGAAGGCATTCAACTTGGTGATCAAGGTGCTAAACATTTAGGCAATGCTTTACTTCAAAACAAAGTAACATTCGTTTTGCTTTTACGACTTATTCCTATTTTCACATAGACACTGACTACACTTCGTCTAAGAGAGAATCGAATTAGTATTCAAGGAGCCGAACATCTAAGCTATGCTCTATTAGACAATAAAGTAACATAGCATTTCCTTCTACTCTCCTCGCTCTATGAATTATTCATTATTTTATACAGACATTCACCACACTTGACCTCCCCTACAATCAAATCGATGACAATAGAAAACAATATGTCAAAGATATATTCAAAATGAATCCGCAGATAAAACTAAATTTGTAATTCGTACGAAGAAAAACTATGGCTGTTAACAAGGACACTGATTATTCATTGATATAAAAGCTTTTACTACATTTTAACTAAGTATATGCTGTATTCATGAATATTCATATTTTAAATCCCATAAATGAAGATCAAATTGAGCTCTAGTATTCGATATGTTGACTATTTATCTTATGTATCAAAAAAATCTGTCGAAGCTCATTTTTAGCAGCTGATCCATAGTTCATCATATCATTGGCTAAGCTTTACGATCGAGGTAGATTACCAAATCATCAATTTGTTTGTATAAATCAATTTTAATTTCTAGAAGTGCGTGGATATGAATGTGTGCAAATAGAAAATATCTGTACATTCACACGTCACCAAAACCGAAGTTTAAAGAATAAATAAGAAAGCTTTTCAAATGAAAAATCGAAATGAACTATGAATAAGCCTTTGATGAAAAAAAGTAGGTTTTATTGTAATCTATACAATTTAACCTCACTGTTTTGCGTTAGTTCTAACGAAAACATTAAATTTATTTGATGAAAAGAACGTAAGAAAATCAAACTTATTAAGCAAACGCATATTTTTTAATTGATTTACGAAGCTTAATAGAAAATATTCACAATAATTGCATGAAATAAAGCTTTTAATTTACAATTAATCAGATGTTATTCACATTGTCAGTTTGGAATCATTATCGGAAGGAAAAAGTTGTTTTGTTCGAGGTCAAGTCAAAAAATGTTGTCATTTATTCTGATATTGAAGATGATTTGACTTATTGGAATAGTTCGACAAGAAGATACTTCTTTAAACGAATAATAAGTAACATATTAGTTATATAGCGACAGGAACTAAATGATAAAGAGAGAAGTTTCATAGTTGCAGATTTTTTTCCGTTAAACTTCTATTTGTATTTATTCTTATCTTAGAAAAGAAGTCGAGATAAAAATGCAAAATATTGGCAACTAGGTTTTCTTTCTGCTTCGTTTTTGTGAATAAGACAACAGACAGAAAATGAGAACATTTTGAGAGAGCTATTCTCAGTCTAGTATACAATCGATGAATATCACTCTAGTCAAGTCTATATATGATTGAAGAAAACTTGATTCAATCTGCTTAATCTAGATATAAATGAACTGAGATATATAATACAATGATCATTTGAAGTGCATGCATCTTGATACAGACTTTCATCTATGAAAATGAGCACAGTGTAAGAAACATTTTTACGAACAAATACTAAAATAACTTTATTAACAGTAAATAAACCACAGCTATCACATTACAACAGAAGTAAGTCGATATCTTTAAATCCATATTAGAAATCTGAAGCTTTTTCTTGCATAACTTTTACTTTTGATAGCGAAAAAAATTAGCTTTATCTTGTATTCTATATATATAGATACTTTGGATAAATTACAAAGTTTTCGACTTTTGTTATTTTTGACGAAAACATCCCAATACAGCCGCTATCGTAAGAATTGATGACAGATGTTTCCAATGATATATCAACAAATTTTCTAGGCAAAGATAAAAAAGAATAAAGTGAAAAAAAAATTGGATAAATAAACGAACCTTCTGGGAACAAAATCAGGATTTTAGTTGTTATCACAGGGTTCTTTTGTTTCATGACACACAGAGTTCACAAGAGCAGTTATATATCCTACTTCGTTTCACAAAAGTTGGATGAGACGTCCGAAATTTTTCATTAGGTAAGAATAAAAAATAACTTGCTTAACAACAGTGCCGTCATAGACTATATGTGGACTCCCGTTTCATTTAATTGTTCTTCTAAAACTTTTTTACACATTGTGATATGACTTTCATACATGATAACAGAATTAATGATTAGAAAGAAGCGTTTTTTAAAAGAGCACAATTATTGAAATTCCAAAACCTAAAAAAAAGTTGATAGATCTTGCAGACCTCCAAAAAATTGTCGAAGGATTAAGATTCAACCAAATCAAAACCGCTAATTGTACCAACAGCAGAAGAAATGACACAAACGTCTAGTTTATTCATTGGTTATTTTAAATTAAAATACTTGCTTCATTGTATTTTTAAATATTTCTATATTCTGATTAAAAATATTATCATTTGTAGTATTGCTGCAGTATTTAGTAGGTCTCTAAATATTTTTATGCGAGAAATTAATGTCCTATACGTTTCCTATATAGTAGAGGACGGTCGTTATATTTGTCAGCCTGTTAATTCCTATGTATTCGTGTATTTTTTCCGAACGCTGCTGCGACCTCAGAGAATTGGTAAGATCATTATTGTTTTCCACTGAGATAACATCATGTATTGAATCAGCAGACATAATATAGTAATAATATACTCTGCGCAAGAATAAATCTGTCTCTAATACATAAAACAAAATATTCAAAATGCATATAACTAATCATATAAGATATTTTATTCAAATTGCATTTACTTTTAGACTTTTCATGTTGATCAAATATTTATGCCGTCGTTGTGATGTAATGAACGTTAAAATGAACTACAATCAATAGAATGAAGGTTTTTTTAAAATACTTTTTTGAGTAGAAATGAATTACGCATAAATGGAACACAAAACGAAATTCGTTGTTATAAATGAGGTCGTATCGCTGACACTTGTTAAAGATCTGACTTGAAAAGTATTAAATTTATTGGTCATTATGAATGAAAGCCAGACGGTATTACACTCGTAAATGAAATTTAAAGATTGAAAAAGGGAAGTTGATTGCTATTTTGAAAAATTAAAAAACACGTTTCATTTCAACTGTATCTGATAATTCAACTTATCTAGAACTGTTGAATAGAATTGATTTTCGAACGAAAGCTACAAATATTGAATAAGTAATTTGTTCAACTGATTAACATATCCTGCAGAAATTAGCATTCGTCAGTTTAAGTAGACATAACTAGCTCGTTTAGATTTGCTAATAACTTTCTGTCTCAAATAGTTTTCAACAATTGAAAATGTTGTAGCTTGCAAATATCTGGGGATGAGCACAGTTCTTTCTCCTTATTATACGCTAACCTTCTTCAAATATTTAATGATGTCTACCTTCGCAACATTCGAAATGTATCGTATGATGCTTTGAATTTTCACTCTATTGACTCACTCTCATCTTTCATTAATATTAAGTCAGGCAGTTAATGAGTATAAAACTTACACTTATCTATTCCAATTTACCGTTCATAGAATTTATCATTGTGATCGGTATAAACTACATTTCAGAAATGTACTGATAGTACCATCATCTCAGTAAATGATATTTTCTATTAAAGTAGGTAGGTTTACTTTTAATAGCTCAAAGAAACCAATAGAAATACATGTTGCCGATGTATGAGTGTGAGTGTGGGTGTGGATCATGTGTTTCTCTACATCCACCTACACCTCACACTCACGCCCCACAACCCACACACACATCCTAAAAAGTAAACCCGATCATGCTTGCCCTTGAGTTTTTGTGCAGCACGATCCAATTGCTGACAGTAGAGATCGGCAGTGACGGTACATCCATCCGGTAGCAACTCTCCATAAATAATTTCTTAAACACCCTACCAGACACTCAACATCATTTTCATCGGATGGAGATCGTTTTTCGATATTACTGTACCGGTTTGACCAACGATAAGCCGTTGACGCCTGCGCGTATAATTAATATAGAGCATCTACTTTTCATTATCAATAATGAGGTTGCGAAGCCATTCGTAGTTACGATGAAATGTCACTAAATCCATACAAACATCAAGTCGGTATTGAAACTGATGGGCTGATAATTCCTGGGGTAGGATGTGAGTGTGGATGTGGGGTGTGGGTGGGTATTTTTTTTTTTCATGACACCCACGCCCACACCCACTCACTCTCTTCTTAAACGTTTCTTAAGATTTCCTATCAAATATCTGAAGTTAGACATACATAAAAAGGATATATATGTATATTGTATAGATACTATCATAAAAATGTTATTTTTCTAGCTATTTTCTGGTTGATTCTAATGTTGAAGTAGTTTGCATTATTATGTTGAATATATTCCTATGTTTCATTCAATGAAGTTATCAATAGAGTATAATGCATTTTCAATAACAATTTCGATGCTAAGTTTTAAAAGAAAAGCTTTTCTATCTGTTCATATCCAAATAAATATCGTTTTTCTTTATTTTAAAATATCTCAGCCAATAAAATTATATTTTTAAAGTTACTTTTCTTTTTTTTTCCGAATGAAATCGATGAATGTAGACAAAGAAACATCACGATTTCTCGCTCATTACATTCAATGCAAAATTATATACTCTTACAGAAGTCAATTGATTCTATTTAATTCAATAAATTTCGTCATTTGGAAAATAATCATAGAAAACAAATAACAAGCAAGCATTTGTATATATATATATATCAATAAAAATCTAGTTTTAAAGTCAAAAAAGAACAATATCTAGTTGTAATAGTTTGCTAATGAATGAGAGACTTTTTTAACTCTCATTATTATATATACGATGCCAAACTTGAAATTTGAGAACTCTGTTGAATTCAAATTACAAACTTGACAATTCCATTTTTCTTCACAATATCGTGTGTTCCATTGAAAGATCTTAGAATTCAATTTAATGAAAACACTCGAATATTTTTTTTAATTCATCCTACTCTCGTCATGCATAAAATTTTATAAAAATACCGATGTTAATCTTAGAAAGAATCAATCTTTGAATTCAGATGTTGAAAATCCTCGTATCCAAAAAAAAAATCATAAGTTTTTGATTAGTTTCTAAGCAAAAGTTAATCATTCATTCATTACGAAGTAAAATATATTTGAAGGTGCTATAGATGAAACTCGAATAGTATTGTTCAGAAATTGTTCGGCTATAAATATTAGTCAAAGAATCATCGAAATCGAAGTAAAAATCGGTGAGAACCTTTGATTTAACTGTCAAAGTTAAAATTCATTAAAATTATATATTTATCTCACACAGAAGCCAATCAATAACGATTTAGGACTCTTCGAACATCTAGTGTAAACTTTCTTATCGAAAACAGAAAGTTCAAGGAAAAGATTTTTTGTTCCATATTGTTTGTAAAAAACATTTTTTTCTTATCTTCTGAAATAATCTAAATATAGAGGTAAAAAGGTAAAGATGGAAAAAAGTCTCTTGATTCGTCCAACATGTCTCTTTTTTTTCTATTCTCTATTTGAGAAGATATTTAAAAAAATGCCAATGCTTATATTGAATAATGGATTGCTACGAATTTCAACTATATTTCATTTTCTGTCTATTTTAGTAAATCAATTCTTATGTGAAAGAGTAGGATTTAAGAAACGTATTTGTAAACGTATACTTTTCGTTGTTTAAAAATATTTCAATGAATAGGAAACTTAACTTGTATGAATTAGATATTTACTAATCGATGAAATTTTGTTGAAAATATTTTATTTATACTTGTAATTTCTATGAATATTTTTACAATAAGTATTAATCGCATTTTTTATATGCAACACTGTTTTTGTTTCAATTATATAAGAAATTTATGAATTAGTTACAATTCAACTAAAATTATTGATGATTCTCTGAATTTGATTTAAGAATAAATGTATTCTTCATTCATTTTAGTGATCTATTGCATAATCAAAGTCTGTCATAAACCAAGCAACTGGCGATATATTTCGTAGTAAACTCAATAGTTTAATTGAATTCATGAAACAAATTAGTTGCTTTCAGAGATCAGAAAAAAAAATTTTCACTACAGTTTCACATTTATAACTACAATATCGAAAAATGATCCGTTTTGAAAGTACTACAATTCATCGATATTCGATTTTAAAAATGAAACATTTAAATTAAGTAGAGACTGGTAATAGACGAATGAACATGAACTAGAGAAAAAAGTAGAATGATGCTAATCTATATGTTGTAAAATAAAAAATAAATCGCAGAAAATCGATACATACAATAGAAATGTTTATGATAATTATTCGATAATTTTTTTACTTTCTTGAAAGTATAACATTCAAGAATATAGAATTTAAGTTTCTGTAATCCTAATTAGAAAACTATATCTAAATTCCTCTTACGAATATTTCTTGAAAATTATCAACGATGTCCTAAAACTTTTGATTCTTCTTTTTAAATTGACGTTATCTCTATCAAATATATTTGTGAATAGTTTATTGAGGCGATGGCCATTTTGCTTATAACGATGAAGTATTTTACATTTCACATTTCTTGTAAAAAAATAAAATATGTTGGTAACGTAGAAATCTTGCATTTTAAAACATAAGTTGACAATTGATCAACTAAAATATTGAATGTCAAGCATACTCTCTCATGTAAAATATGCAACTTTTTTAATCTTTCTGTTTCCTTTTGGGTCTCAAAATCGAATCAATTTTTGAGGGCCCGGCCCGATTCACAACGAATCTAATAAGAAATAAACTTTTACATGGCAGAAGTCAACGATCATTGAAGTTAGAGTGGCTCTTGTTTGTTATTTTACTTTATATTTAAATTTCTTAAATTTTAACTTAAGAATAGAATTAAATTTTGTTGCAATCATATGGAAGCAAAGAAAGTACAAGTCACATATTAACTGTTATAAATTCGTCATATGTTGTCAACGAGACCTAACTATTTCATGCTAAACAAGCGAGATAAATGAATGAAGAAAAATGAGAACCTTTTTCATCGTTCTGCATAATGTTGTGCTGAATACATTTATTTGTATTGCCTAATACATCTTCAATAACTCGAAGTTTATTGTGGATTTCCTTGTAGAATATTACAAAATTTCAATGCTTTGTGCAGTGTTTCAGAAATTCAGTAATAAATTTCTGATCGTTTCATACAAGACTATTTTAAAAGAAAAGTAATGTATACCGGGTGTGGGTGTGGTGTGTGGGTGAGTGTGGGTTTGTGATGATGTGGGTGTGGGAGTATGAGGGTGGGTGTGCGTTGGTGTAGGTATGGGTGTGGTGTGTTGGTGTGGTGTAGGTGGGTGTGGATGTGTGAAGGTATGGGTGCGGGTGTGGACGTGGGTGTGGGTGGGTGGTGTGAGGTGTGGGTGTCTCACACACACTCACACTGCCTATACACCCACACCCATACCCACATCCACACTCACACCCCCTATACACCCGCACTCATACCCTCATCCACACAGCATATGAAAAAGCCCCCAAAAGCTAGGCTCTTGGGTACGTTACATAAACGCATACTTTGTCATAATATTTACGCAATTCTACTTCCTAGAACTTCAACGTCATACTATCATTCAAGCACTATTACAACAACCGAAATTGAGCCCTGCATCGACTTCTACTATACATTGACCAACCCAGATATCCCAAACGAAACGGCGTACTTGTACACATAAGAACACATCTACATAAACTACACAGATGCAAGTACAATAGACTAGAACTTACATTACATGTGAGTAGGGCTGGGAAGTTACCGTTCCCAAACCATTACCCGGTAACGGTTCCTATGGAAGGAGTTACCAGTTACCCAGGTAACGGTAACGGTAACGGTAACTTCCCACCCCTACATGTAAGCCACACATCACAAATCAACACCCGCCTGACACAGTAAAACTTCATGATTCTCAAAAAACTTTTCTTCCACATTTCGCAGCTTTGATTCTTGATTTTCGAACAATTTCCAATTAAACACACAGATTATTCGAGAATATCTTCGAAATTTTGTTGGCTTTTAGTTATTTATACTATTTACCCGATAAATACTAATTTGTGAATGATATTAGTTTGAGAGTCTTCTTCTGAACTTTCAACTATTTTATTTGCAACAGGAAAGTTATTACTTTATTGAGTAGCATCATATTACCAATCCAAAACAATTGATAAGTTTAAGCTTCTAGTACTTATCGAAACCGGTCTTGTTACCTAAAATTGATTATAATAATTATTACTTATATAATCATACCTACATCCTTTAACATCTTATACTAAGCAATTGATAATTGACCACCTTAGCTCTGGTCGAAACACGTGTCTTGCTAACTTCATAATTTGATTTGATTTTCGAATCATTTCTAACTAAACACACCCACGCCCACACCCGCTCGGTGGGCGAGGATTTCTTACTCCAGCAGTAATTAATGAAGTAAATATTCGATTAACTGAAGAATAACATCAGCTATTAAAATTAGGTCCGAAATTCATATTCAATGACCCAAAAACAGCAGCTCGACGATGTACAACTGAGTTGGCTACTTTAAAACGTAAAATAGAAGATTATTTTCTTCGTAAAAAGGTGAGCCCCGGTCGTCCTCTTCAACAATTTATGGCTGAATTAGATGTTCTTCTTCAAACATTACATGACGTTTCAGTAACAAATAAAAATCTTAATAATAATAGAATAACTGTAAGTCAAATAAATCATAATGATATTTTTGAATTAATAAATAGTCAAGCAAGTCAATCGCAATCACAAATAGTTACTGGCATTAAAGTTAAGAAAAAGAAAAATTATGGTAGACTTGTGAAAAGATTGAAGCATACATTCAAATTGGCTAGTGTTAATTTACGTAAATCTGATAAATCTAAAGTATTTCATTTAGGTAAAATTGAAGATTATCGTAAGAAATCCGAAGAATATATGGCGAAAACCCAAGCATATAAATGCTTAGGGACAAATGATCCATTACCGGATTTAATTATGCGAACAAATAAATACTTGTTGAACTTACGATTAGCTAAATGGATTACTCAAAAACATTATGAAAAATTATGTATCAATTCATGCGAAGTTGAGCTGGCTCATTTATATTATTTACCAAAAGCCCATAAGCCAGGTACTCCTCTTCGCCCAGTAGTTTCTGGTCTTAAGCATCCTACAATTAAAATATCAAAATTTCTTCATGAGCTTTTAACTTTATTAGTTGATAAAATGGCCGTAAAAACAACTGTAACTTCTGGCTTTGAATTAATGAAGCAGTTGCAAGAACGGTCAAAGATAAATATGCGTCAAGAAACATGATTTTGTGCAATTGATGTGGTGGATCTTTATACAATGATATCACAAACTGAAGGAGTACTATCATCAAAAAGAATGTTAGACCATTTAAAATTAAAACGTATTAATGGGCTAAGAATTGAAACAATTATTAGATTAAGTCGATTTGTGATGCAAAATAACTATTTCTCTTATGATGGTCAATCTTATCATCAAATTCGTGGAGGGGCAATGGGTTCACCACTTACATTGAATGTTGCTAATTGTTACATGTTCTTTTATGAACAGCAAATTATAAAGCAAATACATAACAGAGACGGACTGTATTTTAGGTATATTGATGATATTTTTATTGTGATAAACTGGCCTGCCCGACATTTATTAAAAGAAATCGACAAATGGAATCATTTTGATGAAAATATTAAATTATCTGAAAATATAGGTATAACAGCCAACTTTCTAAACTTACATATAGAAAATCGAGATGGTGAATTATTTACAACTGTTTATCAAAAGCCATCCTATAAGCCGTATTACCTACCATTTAATAGTATTCATTCGTTGCACATGAAGAAAAATATAATTTTTACTATGTTACTTCGTACTATTTGATATGGCTCGATTTTTCAAGCATATTTAGATAAACGCAAGAAGTTACGGATGGCATTAATATTAAATAAATATCCAAATAAATTTATTGATGAACAATTTACTAATATTTTAGAAAAATTAAATATTGAACAATTGTTAACATCTAATAATTATGCTTAATATGGTCAAAAAGTTATAGATTTTCCAATAAAAGAGATAGTGCCTGTAGATTATGGAAAGACAATGTTTGTACATTTTACATATTGCTCAAATATGAGGACAGTCCCAGGCAAATTTCATGCTTTATGGAATAAATATTTTGGTGAATCTCCAATCAATGATATTGTACCTACTCTTGGTACTCGAAACGCCAATAATCTTCAACGACGATTAGCGCACACAAGATCAGTAAATATATAATATATTGGATTATTTGATTTGCTATGATTATTGAATTGTAGCATAGTCCTAATAAAATAGGCATTTTTTAAGTATTTTTTACCATGAAATTACCGATATTCGCAAAAATTATGATTTACAGTTAATTGAACTTTATGATCTTATAATAAATTAGTTATTTATGGGTGCACATTAAATAATGAATTTAATTCAAAAATTTGAAAAGAAAATCTGACGGCAGAAATGTCATGATACAGATTGCAAAGCTTTTCAAAATATTTAATACAAGATCGAGATTATCAATACATCAAATGTAATGTCTATACCAATAAAAAACATACTCATTCTTGATTTGATATCTTAATATTATTATATTGTATATTTTTACTAAGACTAGTGCTGAAATTATTATTTAAATTAACCTGAATTTAAATATTTACTCAAATTTAGAATAGAATGATGATTAAAATCATGTTAGGTTTTAGCATATCAAATTAATTATATGAAAGCTTCAATGTAACGTCAATTTGAATTAAATTTTTGCAACATTTTTAAATGGCCAAGCAACAAGAACATTTTGAACACAAGCTGAAGCACTTAGATTTATTAAGTACCCGCTTTTTTACTATTGTTTGCTATAAATAAATCTGTGGAACATAGAATTTCAGACACGTGTTCATATGCTTGAATGTTTTTAACACTTTGGACAGTTACTCAGAATTCTGATGTTGTTTATTATATACTAAAATTATAGATTCTTTTTCTTCTGTTATTATGTACCCTTCGCAAATTATTGTTTTGTTATCCTCTTTAAAATGTAGCTTATTATTACAAAGATGATTCTCCCATGGAGAATATTTCTCTTTTATATAGAAATTTGTTTTTATGTGCTTTTTATGGCAATGCAGAGCCCTGATGAGTGTTTCAATATTTAAATAAATAACACAAAACACGTCGGCGAAATTAAACTATGCATTTCTTATAAATTAATTCAAATTCAAGCACATCGATCAAATATTTTATATTCGACATAATAGTCGGTTGCTGAAAAGTGAGAGTTGAAACTAGCAGATTGATTTGTATTGGAGGGATATAGATTGATCTGTTTCTATTTGACTTGTCGTTTTTTGGCCAAGAGATAGATCTTGCACTGAACGCCAGAATGTGTCTTTGTAGGTATTAATTAGCGATCCAGTATTTCTCAGTTCTATCTTCGCTTGAACCTTGACCACTTCATCCATTTCTTAAAATATCGCATTATCTGTTTGATGAAAATATCAAAACTCTTTCTTCTTTCTATACTATTTGATATAATCCAAGACGGAGACAGAAGCCATGTTACTCGACAAGCTTCTTGTTCAATGATTGGCCTACGACGAGAAGATCCCACGAGCTGACTTTATCTATTATCCACGCAAATGTATCACTTTGTTTGCATTTTCTAATCATTGAGATCCAGTCTCGACGATATTTTGGAACGAGTCCATCAGATCGAAGAGGAGAACAAGTCACTTGGATCAGAAAACCAGGAATTAAGAGAAGAGTTACTTTCCTGAATAAAGTGTCAGTGCTATCAATTGCAGGCCACAGTTATAGACAATGATGAAAATGCGCATTCGACACATGCAGTTATTTATTACTTTTCATTTAGTTTTCAAGATATCAGCTTTGAATCAAGTATAGATCGATGTTATCAAAGTTAGGCTGGAGGCAGCAGGTTATAGGCAAAAAATGGAAAAATCAATCAATACTCAATGAAAAATTACATGATAACTCAGTTTCGGTAGTCTGGATAAGTAGAATGATCTTGATCATGGTCAAGTTCACGCATGGCAGCAGCAAATTCCAAAGTACGGTCTCGAAGCTCATTGGTATTCTTAACTATATCCATGCTTAGCTTGACGAATCGATCCTCCGGTATGACTAAGTCGCCCTTGTTAAAGGCCATCGAACATGCATGCGATTGCATTTCTGCAGCGGCACATAGCGTGTACGCATGGTAATACGCAGCAGCAACAGATGGTCCACAAGTGAGCAAGCCATGGTTGCGCAAAATCATAACGTTCTTGTCTCCCAAATCGCTCACGAGTCGTTCTTGCTCATCGTACGAGATAGCAATGCCCTCGTAGTCATGGTACGCAATCTCTCCAGTCACATGTGCAGTCTGTGTCAATTCCATCACCCCACTTTTCGTTGCTGAGAGCCCGGCTACAGCCCAGTTATGATTGTGGTTCACGCAGCGAACGTCCGGACGAGCACGATGAATGCAAGAATGAATCACGATACCAGTTCTCTGCACTCCCATGATGTCACCCACAACACCTGCATGAATCGTATTTCCATCTAAATCAATTTTAATTAGTGATGATGCTGTAATTTCACGGTAGCTCAGCCCGCGAGGATTGATTAATAAGTGATGTTCGCCATTTGAACCAGTCACACTACAAGTAATATGATTAGCAATGGATTCTAACCACCTATTTTTCGCAGCTAGTCGATAAGCGGCAGCCAATTCGATTCTTGCTTTCTGTTCATCAATACTGAATTCATGCAGAATGGAACGACTTAAACGTTCACGTAGATATTGACTAGAATATTTGTAGGAGCCAGGTACGTATGTCTTGGGATTGAATACGTTTTGAAGATCTTCCTCTGTAGCTCGTGATTTTGTGATTGCTTTCTTACCTTTATCATGTGGTGCCACTCCATTGGCATTCTTGTGCAAGCTATCATCAGAGGGAGCAGCCGAGTCGTTCGAAACAGTAAACTGTTCAGAAGACATATCGAAATAAGATCAACAATTACAATGTAATATAGAACGTCGAGAAATCAATGTTTATCAGATAACAGTTTGTGTCTGCTCGTAACCTTCAACAGAGAAGAAAAGAAATAAACCTATCGCTTGCATGATGCATGAATAGAGAAAAAGAAAAAAAATGCATGTGTCGTCTCACTTGCAACAAAAAGCAATCACCATAAATACTTTGCCTCATTCTACACTATCTTTACCTTTTTTATAACCTCATGCAAAAAAAAGTCAATCGAAAGAATCGCTTCGCTTCTTATTAGAGGTCTGATGTTCGACCTTTTTTATTTTATTTCAAATCAAAAATGTCCGTACACACACGTATAAATCATACAAGTATCTGCCCTGTGCAGAGGAAAAAAAAGAATATATATACAGGGTGTCTCATAATTATAAGACCCCCTACTAAATTTCCACAAAAATAAAGATTTCCTTAACTAAAGAGGGTTTCATTTCCAATCTAACGTCATACCTAAAGACATCTAGCACTA